TGCCTTCCCTCTAGTGTTTCACTTAATCAATAAGTAAATTCAAAACGAAACTCTAATTTTTTAATCCTGTTTTCATGTTATTAAACAATTGTTACTTCTCATGTTATAGAAACATATGTCAATTCTTTTGTCATTGAAACATTTTTATACTTACTCCCGTCTCATTGAAGCATTACCATTGCTATTTCAGTTCACTGAAACATTACCATTACTATTTCAGTTCACTGAAACATTACCATTGCTATTTCAGTTCGGTGTTTTTTCAGTTGTTATTCAAACTCCTATTCTTTCATCGATTTATTCAGTCCTACTGTTTCTATTTTACATGATTAAATCAGTTGATTTTTGACAACTTACCGGAGTCAAAACTCTTAGAATTTCTTTCAGAGTTTCTTGTATGCTTGTCACAGAACACAAGACGTACGTTGACGTCACAGCGTCCACACTGTTGTCTGGCACGTCCTTCATGTCCTCGGCTCCGCAACACATCAGACGTTCAACTATTACGTGCTGGTTCTTCTTCAAGCTGTGGGCTTCATGAAAATAGCTGTTGAAGTAAGGGTTAGGGTCGACGCCTATCAGCCGACATTTGTCTGGGTAGAACTCCAAGTTACAGCCATGAGCTGCTCCTATCTCCAGAATTCGAATTGAGCCTTCTTTGCGAAGCTCGGTATCACATGAGGTCATCGTTTGGAGTTCACGAAAGTGGTCTTTTTTCATGTGGAATGTCAGAACTTCTGCAACTGGATTCCAGATGTTTGAGTGGAACCAGGCAAACCAGCGAGTACGGATAAAAGAACAGTATTTTAGTATAATGTAAAGGGAAAAGAAAAGAGCAAGCGTTGGTAATACTAGAAAAAATACGAATGTTTCCAGCATCTTAAGTCCAAACGCCATAACAGTTATCATCACCATGTTCGGTTAATCTAGCTGAGGTGAATAAAACTCTTACTGATATGTTAAGGAAAATATCAGGCAACACTCTCATTGGCCCGCCTTCCTCTGACTGTATAATATGTTGAATAGTCATTATGAATTAGGAGGGAAAAAACTTAGAGGAAACGAAGTTATACAGTTACTGGTGTATACGTTTCTGTTGAATAGCCTTCATCGGGAAACATGTTACCTTCGAAACTTGTCCCTAGGCTATTTTATGTTAACCAACAGTTGTACGAAGTGTTCCAGAACTAAAACGAGAGGCGGGCATAGTTAGGTTACAAAACGAGTTTCATCTTTTGACGTACTAGAAAAGGAAAAAAAAGTATATTCATTATCTCGAACACAAGGTTAAAATTGTAGTCCACATCATTTAAGTAACATATATATGAATTCCTTATGTATTTCTATACCTCATGTATTTTTTCATAGAAATGATGGTTATACGTACAGGTATTTCTATACAACATGTGTGTCTATAAATATGATGCCTACATCACATGCGTTTCTTGACAGATATGATGATTATGTGTATAAAACTGTCTACACTGTGTTTTTGGTAGGAATGGTGGTTATCGTATGTTGGAATGTTTGTTTGTTTGTTTGTCTTTAATAATGAACAAAGCTACACAAGGGCTATCTGTGCTCTGCCCACCACGGGTATCGAAACCCGGATTCTAGCATTGTAAGTCCGCAGACATACCGCTGTGCCACTGGGGGGCATGTTGGAATGGCACGGACGCCCATATTAAAGTAATAAAAAAGCCATCTGGATTTTCTTCTTTACAGACCAATGGAAACTAGATATTAAGAGGTGCGTGGAACTGTCGCTCTATCTCTGGTATACATGTCTTTTTTTTTCAGATATCCAGAGCGTTCCAAGGTCGAAAACCGCCGAATAGCCAAAAACCGAGATTTCTTATATAGTTTTACAATAACTGTAATCTGATCACCATTTGATGGAGGAAAAATTCTTCACGATCTTTGGCTACCAATGTTATCATTATTGTATGCAAAATGCATAAAGCTTTAAAATACACTGTAACCCACGTACACCACGTCATGATAACCTAGTAAATAAACAAGTATAAGGAAAACTATCAATAATAAAAAAGCTATGCATTCGCCAAAGTACATGATAGTTCTAGAAACGTTGCGTCACGTGGTCATGTGACTCGCTGACGCAACAATATTATTCAATATAGTGTTTAGCTCGTTCAATACAAGTTCTTAGACCTTTTGAAGGTTTTATGTTATCAAGTTCTTTACACAAACATTAATTTTATGTTGATGATCTTAGAAGCACGAAGATCTGTGTTGTATCCTTCTTGAATAAAGATCTCATGAAACTGGAAATATACACATGTAAATAACTTTTTATGCTTCGCATTCAGATTTGTCTGTATCACTATATACCAAACAAATTTATCAAACATTTACTGTTGACAATTTCACTTTTCATCTTCTCGTTACGAGTTACTAGCATTATATACATATCTATATATATAAATGCCACATCAATCAAAAACACAAAACACACAATAGGTAATGCATACCCACCATATCGTTTAGAAACATAGAATGAACATATATACTCATATATATCAAGAAATACACCATATATATCAAGAAATACACCATATATATCAAGAACATAGTCATGCCTATTAGGAAATACAGTACAGACATATTTATATATATAACCACCATTATTTGTATGCAAACACGGTATAGACATAACTGTATGTATAACCGTTACAGCTACTGAAAATACAGCACTGATATCTTTATATATACAAGTATAAGGGAAAAAAAAAACAGTTATCGCTAAATAAAATAAAACTATGTAGGGCTGGCTACTGAACTTGTAAAAAACGAACCAAACAAGATCGGGACATATCACTTGATCGATTAATGATCACATATCAGACTAAGCCGTCTTGACTTCTACATGGAGAATAAAAACCTTACATTACTGGCTTCCCCACTTTTGTGTTTGAATAGAATCTCAGCTTTCATCAATATCAGACTAAACCGTCTCGACTTTACATGGAGAATAAAAAACCCTACATTACTGGCTTCCCCACTTTTGTGTTTGAATAGAATCTCAGCTTTCATCAATATCAGACTAAACCGTCTCGACTTTACATGGAGAATAAAAACCTTACATTACTGGCTTCTCCACTTTTGTGTTTGAATAAAATTTCAGCTTACCTTTTCTTTAGTTAACTTTAGAATACTACTTTCATGATTACTTTACAATATAATAATATTTTACGATTAGAAATTCTGGTTCAATTTGTATTTGCCAGTGAGGAAGTCAGTAATGTAGGAATTATATTATCCATGTAAAGTTGAAACGGTTTAGTCTGCTATGTGATCAGTAGCCACTTCCATCCCTGTCTTGTTTGGCTCCTTTTTTTAAATTTCAGTAGCCAGTCCTATTATATATATACCAGCCTACCCTACTAGTAAATACTAGAGACTGTACAAACGTGTTTACATTGAGGATAGTTTTATTCTCGAAACATTCTCTCTTGCTCATGGTTTTGTTAATAAGAGGGGAAGAAATAGACATTTGTTTTAAACAACGGGAAAGGCATTTCCCCCCGTATAGGCCTACGTAAGTCACTGGTTTGTAGTGTTTTGTTAATGAACCCCAGTTAATACTTATATCCCAGACAACACGCAAACGTTTATTTGGTTGGTTCTATTATCGTTAATACGCTCTTGCGGCATACCTCGTTCGGTTAACATGAAAACGTTTTTTGAATGTTTTTATTTGGTTTACATCTCACGATGTAGGAACAATGCAGCTGTTTACAAATTTTGGAATAATATCTATCGACTTAAAATATAATAAGTTAATTTTTATTTACTTTTAATCTATAATAATTAAAAAAAGTCTTTGTTGGCATTAGTGGCAAATGGAAATACTCTGTTACGTCTCCGTTTGTTAATTAACTTTCCGTAACTTCGTTCCGACGAAACTTAAGCGACACAAGTTCTTTACTTAATAAATCTGGTTTATTCTTTCCGAATACAACTTTACCGATACACTTATTCTCAACAGTCGCGTTATAACAAACTATAATAACGAACGAACGTTAACTACAACAATACGTCTATCTCTGACTGCAGTTCAATTACTCATTGACTATCTATACACACATTACCTTACCTACCGCGTCACGTTTTCCCCTCGGGTCATACTGATTCTTCTGCCAAATTATTATTTCCATCAACCACTGGTAAAGTTTGTTATTAGTTTGCTCTTAATGTATATTTTTGTTTATTTATATGATAGTATCAGCATGGTGTACGCTTCTTTCATACACTTACGGACTTTCCCTTAATAAGTAGTTACAATTTGAACACTGTCTAAGATTGTCAGAAGGTAATAAAAATTAGTCTAAGTAGATTCATTGTGGAGAATAGAAAGAGAATAACGTAAAAAATAATAATAACTCGTTGATAAAATCAATACAGAGAAGATTTGTTTATTTGTTCGACATTCACAAAAAGCTACACACGGGTTATGTGCAATAGCCGCCCCTAATATTTTTAAAGAAAAGGCAGCTAGTCAACACTACTCACCGCTAACACTTGGGGTACTGTTTTTACCAACGCATAGTAGGATTTACCAAAACATTATAACGCCCCCACTGATGGAAGGGTGAGCATGTATGGTGATGGGATTCGTACCCGCGACCCTCACATTGCTAGTCGAGTGCCCCAACCACTAGGCTATATCAGGCCAGTTGTGTTAAGTTTTCCAGATAAAAGTTTAAGAATAATTTGGCACATAGAGATTTGACTATTTTTTCGAGAACGGTACGAGTCACGCTGTAATAAGATTAGTCTTAACAGAAACTACTTTTAAAAACAGCATATTTCAGTTTTTCAGTTATAGTAATATGTCTACATATCTTATGACATCTATATTGTTCAAAGCATCAGTGCATGCAGGAGTATGACATGGAAATAAAAGTTGGTCTTAATCTTGCGTGGAACAACGTTGAAATGAAGATCCCCTCATTTTTACGACTATTTTTGCAATAATTTTAGTGTTTTCTTCTGAATTAAATGTTAAATATTTCTTCCAAACGATCTACCATTGATATTTAGAGAAAACGTAAAGATTAACTAGTTGAGCGGTGTTTGTTTGTGTGTGTGTGGTATTATAGGTCAACAAAAAGTATTCCTGTTGTCAAATTGTGCATAAACCTCATATGTAGAAACTGTATTATTCAGGTGAAACTGAAGTTATTTTTATTGTTTTTACATATTTTAAGGCTTTATACTTATCTTTGTATTACTCGTAGTATAACGTAGGTTCACGTGCATGAGTAACGCATGTTGGACAAAAAACTATCTCGGAAAAAAAACAAAAACTTCCGAATTCACAGAACAGATAATAATGCTTTATGCAGACAGGTGTATGTAAGAAACATGTGTGACAACAACAATGTTGTGTTGCTTACTGGCACGAATAGAGCTTACAATAATAAAGAAATCGGTTTCGCTAAAAACTTACCAAGGCTAATCCTACGACTAAACAATCAATATGCGATATGATTACAGCTTCACAAAAATGTGTAATCGTGCCACATACGCACAAAAGCAGAATAAAGTGTGCGTGTCGAAATTAGTTTGCAATAGACTAAAAACTTACCAAGGCTAATCCTACGACTAAACACTCAATATGCGATATGATTACAGCTTCACAAAAATGTGTAATCGTGCCACATACGCACAAAAGCAGAATAAAGTGTGCGTGTCGAAATTAGTTTGCAATAGACTAACGAAAAATGGGTCTAATGAAATGCTCTCGTGAAAAATATTTTTGAAATATCGTTTTCAGACAGAATAATAAACAATCAACATGGGACTCTAAAAATTGCTAAATTAGAAGTCAAAGATTCTACTTCTTGTTGATTTACTTAGTGTAGTGGAAAATTGCGATTACTTCAGTGGAACCAAGTCAATTCCGGAAAGGAAGGACTTCCAATTAAATTCAAAAGACTAGATAATGTTGTGATTCCAACAGTAATATTACCAGATAATTACAATAAGTGGTCAAAATACCCCGCCTTTGTTAAATCTATACTGGTTCTAATTGAGTGGACACAAACAATAGGAGAAAATGAGCTATTAAAAATATAAGGTAGAATGGATTAATTCAGACACACCATATGCTGTTCGATTTCTACTAGTTTCTAAAACTTTCTGTTATTGTGATGTTCTCCATCCCCCCAAATTAAAATTTGTTCAGCTGTTTGTGTTTTTGATATTGACTACTGTGTTAAAATAATGTTGCGTCAGCGAGTCACATGACCACTGTGACGCCACGTTTCTAGAACTATCCTGTACTTTGGCGAATGCTCTAGTAGTTACTAGATATAGGGTAGTCGGGTATATAAA